GTGGGCAGGTCGAGGACAGTGGGTAGGAAAGGCTGGCGTGGGCAGGTCGAGGACAGTAGGTAGGAAAGGCTGGCAGTGGGCAGGTCGAGGACAGTGGGTAGGAAAGGCTGGCAGTGTGCAGGTCGAGGACAGTAGGTAGGAAAGGCTGGCAGTGGGCAGGGTTAGGACAGGAGGTAGGAAAGGCTGGCAGTGGGCAGGGTTAGGACAGTAGGTAGGAAAGGCTGGCAGTGGGCAGGGTTGTGGACAGTAGGTAGGAAAGGCTGGCAGTGGGCAGGGTTGTGGAAAGACATCAATGTGGCTATGATACAGTGAATATATGCTCTGCCATCTAGGTGATGTTGAGGGCCTGTGAAGTGTAAGGCTTAGGATGCTTCTGAGTGGAGAAGACAACTAAAGAAGATGATTTGACCTGAGCTATTCTTGCTTTTGATGGAGAATGCCTGGGTCTGACTTCAGGATGGGGATAAGAAAGATGAGATGGGCTCAAGTCTTTCCTTTGGCTTGCAAGTTTCTGATACCAGTCTGTTTCATTGTTGTTTTTAATTATTTTTTGAGGCTATAATATAATTGCATTATTTCCCCCTTCCCTTTCTTTCCCTTCAAACTTCCCACATACTCCCACTGGCTCTCTTTCAAATTTATGGCCCCCCTTTTTAAAAATGAATTTGTTTCCTAAATTAATTGTTGGTGCATACATATATGTATGTATATGCATGTTTTCGAGGCTGACCACTTGGTATTGGGTAGCTGACTGGTGGCTCTTCCCTGGGGAAGACTATTTCTCCCACTCACAGCATTCCTTCGTTGTGTGTTGTGTAGGGTTGAGGTCTCTTGAGCTTTCTTTTATCCACATTAGCAAGTGTGTTGTCCTTGATCAGCTCATATTTGGGCATGTTGGTGAGACTTATGAGTATAGCTTCTGACATTCCTAGGAGACACAATCTCAACAAACGCCCTGATCCTCTGGCTCTCACAATTTTTCCATACCCTCTTCCACAGTGATCCCTGAGACTTGCTTTGTAGATGTATCCATTGGGATTGAGCTCCACAACTGCATTTTGATTGGTTGTGGATTTCTGTAATGGTCTCTGTTGGGAAGAAGTTTCTTTGATAAGAGGTGAGGCTTACGCTTACCTGTGGGTGTAAGGACAAATGTTTAGAGTGTGGTTAGGGATTATGCCGGTTTAGGAAAGTTGCAGTTGTAGGTTCTCTGTCAGGATCGGTGACTTTACCAGCCCTGGGTAGTTGGCATGATTTCCCTAGGTTGGAGGGTCTTAGGTCCAGTTGTAAAACTGTCGGTTCCTGCCATGGTATTCATGCCCACTACTGTACCCTTGAGGTTATCATGCCGTGGTGATTGTTATGGTTCATAGATAGCATAGCTGGCTGGGATTGTTGGTTGCTTCCCTTCTTTGGAAGCTGGCATGGCTCCTTCTGGTACCATGAAAGCTAGTCCTCAGGGAGGGGCTTTTGGGTCAGTTTCAGCTTAGTGGTCTCGGATCCCTGCATCTGAAGTGGGTGGTGTTTTCAGCAATGAGGACTTCCATCTCACGTGAGTAACCAAGGGCAACAGCAATAGCCTGTAATGTTTTGGAAGTCTCTTGAACAACACTGACCAACAACTCCAAAGGAGGCTTCCCATGCTTGGGGTTGGGGTTTTTGTTAGGTGGTCTTTGACTCTTGGAGGGAGCATTGTCAGGCCACATGAGAGAATTTCATTTAAGTGATATATGTATATTTATAGGCAGGCTTAATTTGTACCATCGGTTTGTTTGTAAACAGATAATTAATAGTATGATCCCTTAGGACTTTTTCAGACCTCCTTACTGTTATTTTACCCTCCTCACTCGTGTATCTATCTCCTGCCCCCTAATCAGAACCCCCTCCCTGTTGGTCCAGTTTACCTGTATCTGAGCACTTGTTCCCTGACATCCCTGTCTGCTGTGCACCGCCAGCACCACCCCATGGTCCTGACATCCCTGTCTGCTCTGCACCGCCAGCACCACCCCGATGGCCCCTTTTTACTTTCCCGGTTTCTGCAGTTACTCAAGGATATGTCCTCACATCTGAAGGTGTGGGGCCAGGAACCTCCAATGAGAGAGGACATGGGATGTTTACCTTTCTGGGTCTGGTTTACCTCACTCTGTGTGTTTTACTTATTTGTTTGTTTATTTAAGTTCCATCCATTTCTCAGGCTAGACCCTGAAGAAGGATCCCAATTTGTTTTTAACACACTCTTTTTTTTTGGGAGGGGGGTGTTGTTTTTGGTTTTTCGAGACAGGGTTTCTCTATGTAGCTTTGCACCTTTCCTAGAATTCACTTTGTAGCCCAGGCTGGACTCGAACTCACAGAGATCTACCTGTCTCTGCCTCCTGAGTGTTGGGATTAAAGGTGTGTGCCACCACTGCCCTTAACACACTCTTAATCATCCAGTAAGTGCTAGCCATTTGGAGCTATAATTATAAGAAGGAAAACCTGACTCTGGAGGTAGAGGCAGGCAGATCTCCATGAGTTTGAGGCTAACCTGGTCTACATTGTAAATTCTAGGCCAGCCAACATAGTGAGACCTTGTCTCAAAATAAAAAAGGGAAACCTCTCTTGGGTTGCAGGTGGAGATGTCTCAGCAAGCTGTTACACTCTTTACATGGGGTTCCAGAACCATTTTGACATTTGAGGCCAAATTATTTCTTGTCTTATGCATTGTAAGGTGTTTAGCAAAGTGTATTGTCTAACACACACCCTAATCCAAAAAGTTAAATCACCATGTGAACTAGGTTTCATGTTTAAAATGGCAGTACACAGTAACAAGAGATACACGTAAAACAAAACAAAACAAAAAACAAGAGATACACGTGCCACAGGAAAATGGGAAACATTTTGCTTTTCAGCATTGGAGTTAGTGGTGAGACAGGGTCTCCCTGTCTACCACAGGCTGGCCCGAAACTCATGTTCCTCCTGGTTCTACTTTCTGAGTACTGGGATTATAGGTGTTTACCATCATGGCTGGCTCAGTGGGAAACACTTTCCTTTTTTTACACTTACTTAACTTTGTGTGTGTGTATGTGTGTGTCCCCAAGAAGCACAGGCACATAAGGAAGTCAGAGGACAACTTGCAGGAGTCAGTTCTCTCCTTCCACTGTATGTGGCCACCAGGATTGGTGGCAAGTGCCACCTGCCGAGCCATGTCACTGGCCTTAGTGGAGAACACTTGTAATGAAAACTGTAAAGCTCTTCTTTGGCTCCCCCAAGACTCAGCATAGGCCTATTCCCAGTAGTCAGTGGGTGTCTACAGGAAAGGGTGAGTAGCGTGTTTTGTGCTGTGGGTTGTTTATAACATAGGTAGTCGAGGGGGCTCTGACTCTTTAGAGCTGGACCTGGGTTCAGAAGATCCTGCTGTCTCACTACAGAGGAAGATCTTATTTAGAGTGGACACAGGTGCTTAGTGTTTCAGGCTGTTTGGCAGAGGATGCCGCTTCTCTCTAGCAATGATGTGAATGAGAGGCAGCGTCTTGTCCTTCTCATCCTCATAGCATCTAGTTTAATGCTTTGAACATAGTTGCTGTCTGGTGAATGAAAGGGGTTGGCGGGGGTGGGGGTGTGGGGGGGGATGGTTGTGGTTCAGGACAAGCATTTTCAGTTAGAGTAATATCACCCCTGATTGAAGAAGAAAAATGGCTAGGGGATACCTCAGCTGTTACAGTAGACTTCGTCTAGCTCCCAAGGAACATCCTCTCTGAGTCTGTAGTATTAACATTTTGTTCGGCTGTGGGAGGAAAGTATGAACAGCTGCTTGTGGGTCCATGTGAAAAGGCTAATGGTGGTGAGGGGATTAAAAAGGGACAAATAAGATTATGAACACAGAATTAGTTAGGCATCCAGGTTCTGGACTCAGGCCTGGCTTTGGAGACCCAACCCCAGCTTTTAAGGTGTGTAGCTTGACCGGGCTGTTGCACTGAGCTTGTTTCTTGACTGAAAAATGGGCATTCTAGTGGCACTTATCCCACGAGCTTAAATTGCAGGTTCACTAACTATGTTAGACAGGATGTCGAGCTGGTGCTCAGTACTTCCAGCATCATGTGGATGCATGTATGCAGGGGCAGCACGGAGCTCCTTTGGGCAGACCCGACTGCACTCACCCCTACAGCAGTCCCCATCCGGAGATACGCCACCTGCCCAGCTAGCTCTTTCTAGAACTCACTTTCCCAGTTGGATGTCACTCACTGCACTATCACTAACAGAATTCTTTGTTTTCCTCCCTAAGTATGAACGAGGCTCTGCCACCAATTATATCACCCGGAACAAAGCCCGGAAGAAGCTGCAGCTGAGCCTGCCTGATTTCAGGTGAGGTTGGAGAGGAGCAGACTGGGGTCGTCTGGGAGCCTGGGAAATGAAATAAGGGCACAGTGAAAACTTACTTGAGCCATCCTAGCCTTCCTGTACTATCCTCCTCTTCCTCATCTCCTCTGCTGGTGAGCTGTGCTTTGCCAGGTGTGGCCTGAGAACTGGCTCTCCAGGTTGCACTGCTGGATGTCTGCACTTTACCTTCTCCCTTCTGACAGAGTCCTACCGAGTCCTTCCGGAGGCCTTCAGCTGGGGACTCCTTGTTGAGTCAAGTCCAGATGTCTCTGCAGTCTGTGGGTCCTTCCGTCAGGCTAATCCTGACCTCTGCAACCTCCCCCCTCTGTGTGTGTTATGTTGGGGGGTGGGGTGGGGTGGTTACAGGCTTTTGTTTTCGACAGAATTTTTTGGTTGTTTGCTTGGGTTTTTGTTTGTTTTCTGTAGAACTGGGCCTTGAACCAAGGGCCTCACACATGCTACTCAAGCACTCTGCCACTGAGCTGTATCTCCAAGCCTGTTTTTTCTACTTGTTTGAGACAAACTCACTCCCATAGTCCCGACTAGCCTCAAACTTCTGCTCCTCCTGCCTCAGCCTGCTGGGTGCTAGAACAAGTGAGCTGAATCACCGTGCTTGGCCGACCCTCTTCTTAGAATGGTCAACCCCTCTGCCTTCTATATGTTTGAAATGTTGACTTCTCGGTGTGGCGTTTCCTGGTTTAGGTGCCTGCCAACCTTTGTCAGGGTCCTGTCTGCTTCCACTGAAGTGCCTGGGACAGTCTGCTTGCACTGTGTTGAGGAACTTGTGACCGTCAGACTCACTCACTTGAGAGGTCCCTCAGCACAGACTCCCATGCTTCCTGGTCACTCTTGCTTTCTAGGTGCAGCTGTGGCTGGTGTTTTCCCCTTTGCTAGTTTAATAGGTGGCTTATCTTCCAGGCGGCTGTGCATCCTGAAAGGCATTTATCCCCATGAGCCCAAGCATAAGAAGAAAGTGAACAAGGGTTCCACAGCAGCCCGAACATTTTACCTTATCAAAGATATTAAATTCCTCCTCCATGAGCCCATCGTCAACAAGTTCCGAGAGTACAAGGTGAGGCCTGGGGTCTTGTGCTCGCAGCTTTGTAACTTACTGACCCTAGACAAGTTGCTGATCCACTTGGAGGGCCAGTCCTGGGGGAAGAGGGGAGGTCATCCTACCCCAAAAGGATGTCTCCAGGGCTCAGTGAGATCGCCTACCTACAAATCATTTGCACAGGACCTGCATATAATTGTTAGCCAATCCTGTACCCCTCCCCCACATTATTATTTTTTGCCCCCAAAGCAAAAATGGTACCATTTCAGGGCTTTTTGGTGCCTTTTGTGCTACCAAGCCCTCCTAGTCTAGTTCTTTGTGGGATTGCTCCCAGGGCTCCTGGGCTTCAGTTCCATACATAGAGAAACATTAATGCTTGAGTGCCACAGGGACAGCAGAAACCGATTTCCATTGGAAAGTAGACTAATTGCAATTAAACTGCTGTCTCTTGGCCCCTCTAGCTGGAAACAGGGTTCTCCGAGGAGTGGGCGCCACCTGGTGGCCAGCAGAAGACTGGGCAGCAACTGACTGGGTTTTGCAGCTACATCAAACAGTGCTCCAAGTGGGCAAGCCGTGGGAAATGTGTCCAAGACCTGCTGTTTTTAATTCCACATACTTTTTAGGCTTCTTAGGAGTCCTGGGCTGGGTTTGAATAACTCTTGGGAGGAAAAACATCTGTCAGTTTGGAAGATGTGACTTTATAGTTTATCTCAGTGGTTGTTTTTTTTTTTTTTTTTTTTTTTTCTGTGTAGCCTGTTTTCCATAGACGTGAACAAGTGGTTTTGGGTGCTGCTGAAAGCCCTTCCAGCCATGGTCTGCCTCAGTGCAGAGCAGCTATGCCTTCTCTTCCTAGGTAGAATGTGGTGTCAGCACATCCATGCATCATCAGAGGGGCCCTGGGCCTCCTCTGGTCATTGTCATGGGTCTGAGGCTCCATGGAATTGTCTGTTTGGCAAATCTTGGGCTGAGGGGCCTGATGGCCCAGACAAATAGCTGTTAGCAGTTTCAGAAGACCTTGAGAGACCCTGTCCTGTGTATCCCCTCTCCATGGAGGAGATGCTCGTAAGCCCTTGCCAGAGCATCATCGCTCCCTCCTTGCAGGTGTTTGTTCGGAAGCTCCGCAAAGCCTATGGGAAGAGTGAGTGGAACGCTGTGGAGCGCCTGAAGGACAACAAACCCAGCTACAAGCTTGACCACATTGTCAAGGAGCGGTGAGTCACGTCCCTCAGTGATGCAGTTGCTGCTGAGTGTTGTCCTAGTGTTGGAGATACAGTGGGGACAAGACCAAGACTTGACTGACAGAGTGCATGTCCTTTGAGAGGAGGTAGACCAGAAACCAAGCTGGCAGATCAGTGTCGTGACTCTAAGGTGCACTGGGTACAGGAAAGGTTGTAAGGCAGTGTGTAGAGAACTGGGGTGTGTGCTAGAGTTACATTGATTACATTGACTACATTTCCAGAGACCCCTCTGGAAAATGACCTGTTTCGGCCAGCCAGGAATGCACATTATGAGCAGAGACAGCAGCAAGTTCAAAGGCCCCATGGTAGAAGAGCCTGAGCCACGAGTTCCCACACTGCAGACATACTTCTGGTCCTGACTGTTCCTCATTCAACCTTCTCAGAAAGTTCCTCCCCTTCACTGGCTATTCAGTGATTCTTGCCTCTTCAGGAGAATTTGGCAAATGCCTGAAGACCCTTGTAGTTTCCAGTTTGGATGGAATGTGTTTGTTATCTGCTGGATAGAAGCCAGCATTGCTACTAAATCTTCTTCAGTGTTCATAATAGTTCCCACAATGCAGAACACTTGGGCCTGGAACTGATCCAGTGTAGAACCCTAGGCTAGTGTCTCCATTCTGTGGACTGATGGCCTAGGCACGCTCGGTTGGTTCCAGAGTGATGGGGCATGGCTTCTTTCCTGGGATATGGATGCCTTGGCCTGGGAGATAACAGTTGGTATCATGAGCTGGGTGGCCAGAGGACAGGGACAACTCTGATCAGGTACACATGACTACCATACATTTTAGTAGCAACTGTCCCATCTGTGACACAGCTGGTTATATAGACAAGGTGGGAAAAAAGAAAAAGAAAACCAAGCACCTGGGTTCATGGACAAAGCAAATAGCATCTGGTCTCCTCAACCAGAGCCAAAGCTTAGGGAAAGCCAAGAAGTCCAAAAGAGACATATACTTGTCCTACAAAGGAGAAAGTTAGGAAACTGAGGCACCAAGCAGGCTGAGGGAGGTTCTTGCCTCTGCCTCAGGAACTTAGACGGCTGTCCCTTCACCTGCTAGTTCCCTGCTAGGCCTTCCCTTCTTAGCCTGGTTTTGAAGACCTGGCAGATCTCTCAACTCAGTTGCAGTAAAACAGTGCTATTTGGGGCCTGGGACCTTGACCATTTGTAGTCCTGTGCCCTCCAGAGCCCTTTATGACATGGGAGATCATCATCATCCTTTTTGTTTTTCAAGACAGGGTTTCTCTGGCTGTCCTAGAACTCTCCCTGTAGACCAGGCTGGCCTAGAAATCCACCTGCCTCTCCTCCTGAGTGCTGGGGTTAAAGGCGTGCGCCACCAATGCTCTACCCTCTCCTTTTTTTGTTTTTGTTTTTTGTTTCATTTTGTTTTTTTCGAGACAGGGTTTCTCTGTGTATCCCTGGCTGTCCCAGAACTTGCTCTGTAGACAAGGCTGGCCACAGAGACTAGAAACTCACAGAGATCCACCTCCCTCTGCCTCCTGGGCGCTAGGATTAAAGGCATGTGCCACCACCGCCCAGATTTTTTATGGTTTTTTGACACCTATAGCTCTGAATGTCCTAGAATTCACTATGTAGACCAGGCTAGCCTCAGACTCCCGGAGATCATCCTCCTCCTGCCTCCCAGATGCTGGGATTAAAGGTGTGTACCACCCCTCCTAGCAGACCCTTTTCCTCAAATGAAGCTTCCTAGAATGTGGTTCAGATGCTACAACTCTAGGGCAGCCTGGCTTGAGGAGGGGACTAGAAGCCCTGTAGATATCTATACTCAGGGTGTGTTTAGAGCCACAAGAGGTAGATGGATGGGTGGCTTGGTTTGGTTGATTCTAGTTTGATTGTGAGATAAGGTAGATCTGTAGATGACCTGTAACTCATGATCCTCTTGCCTCCACCTCCCAAGTGCTAGGATTACAGGTATGTACCACTATATCTGATTAAAGACACCCTACTTTAAGTCAGCAAATTTTGTTCAGCAGTGTCATTTTCTAGATGAAGCTGGAGCTGGAGAAGGCTGAGTGAGCCAGTTGGCGTCACAGCTCAGAATGGGCTAGAGTCCAGGTGTCTCTGTGTGTAAACTATCAAAGCAGTGGCGGCTCTTGTCCAAGTGACTCTTTGTCTGCTTCCTCCTTTACCGTGGGGTTCCTGGAAATACGTTCTCACTCGAACTGGACAGAGTCCTAGTGCCAACATTTTACAGTGGTTCTGTCAGTTACATGGATCTGGATGGTAAGAAATGGGAAGACAAGACCCACTCAGGTGACCTATAGGCAAGCCCAGCAGGCCAGCTTCCTATTTTTCCCTTTTTCATTGTGGGCCTTTGAGGATTCCGCTTTCAAAGAGAGTCAGGGAGCCACCAGGTTGGTGTCCCCTCATTCACAACAAGGTAACAAGTAGTTGAGGCTTCTGTGCGGTGTCTTGAGGTCATCAGAGTTCACTGGGAACACCCTGGTTCTTCAGTGGCTATCGGACTGTTTCCAGATGTGTGTGCCAACTGTGGGGAAGTTGTTGCTGCCACCAGGTCAGGAAGTAGCTGTGGCAGTGCTTGGCTTGGGTGTCAGGGCCTCTGGGGCAGCTACTGGGAAGAGGCAAAGTGGTTAGAGACAGAATGGGCACACAAGCGCTGCCCTCACCACCTTACAGGTACCCCACATTTATCGATGCTCTGAGGGATCTTGACGATGCCCTGTCAATGTGCTTCCTCTTCTCCACCTTCCCACGGACCGGCAAGTGCCATGTGCAGACCATCCAGCTGTGTCGCCGGCTTACTGTGGAGTTCCTGCACTACGTCATTGCTGCCCGAGCCCTGCGCAAGGTGACCTAAGGCTCTCCTGGGGATCCCTGGTCCTCTCCTGTCACCATTGGTCTTCATACTGTCGTCCCTACCCTCCCTCCAGGTCTTCCTGTCCATCAAAGGCATTTACTATCAGGCTGAGGTGCTGGGGCAGCCCATCGTATGGATTGCACCCTATGCTTTCTCCCATGATGTAAGTGTGCCTTTTGGGGGTGTCTTGTGCTGGTTGGGTGTGGGTCAGGTGCTGTCTTTGGAGTCAGCCCTTGCTGGGTTCCTGATTCTTGGCCGCTGTGCAGAGGTGGGGTGAAGGGAAGGGTAGGGCATGTGCTTTACATCCCAGTCGGTCAATAGTGCTGGATCAGTCACAGAATTCTCAGTGTCGTGTGTACACTCAGACCCATAGGCTAATCCTTACTAAGCTTGCCTGCCTCCAGCACTTCTGCTAGAGTGCTGGTTCTCAATCTTCCAATGCTGCAACCCCTTAATACAGTTCCTTGTGTTGTGGGGACCCCCAACCATAGAATTATTTGTCGCTACTTCATAACTGTAGTTTTGCTACTGTTATGAATCACAGTGTAAGTATCTGATGTGCAGATAGTCTTAGGTGACTCACAGGTTAAGAACCACTGTGCTAGGTGATCTTGAACATGTTCCCTCACCTTTCTGCATCAGTAAATAACGGTTTCCATCTTCTCAGCCTTGCCATGAGGACTTGAGGGAAAAGAAGTCTTTTAATGGGCAGTGCGGACAGCTCTGGGGGCTGTGTGTGCCCAGTGTTTTGCACAGTTACCACCTGGATCGAGAGCCCAGCCCCCCCTCAGACCCACTGGGGTCCCTGTTCCCACTCTGCCGTTGGCATACCACAACAAAACTGCTCCATTCCCGTCTCCTCTCTGCTCCATCGTCCCCATAGCCTGGAACAGAGGGTGATCCAGGGGAGGGAGCACGAGAGAGGCACTTAGCACGTGGCACTGACTTACTGGCTTCCTTGGAAGAGCTTGGGATTGTTCCAGGGCCCTGCTAAGAGGAGTTTGGTTTTGCTCTCCGTGGAAGCCTTGTTATCTCCCAGTCCCCCAGAAGGTCACCCCTAGCCGGGCTTGCCCCCGAATTGTCTGTCTGTGGGCTGTACTTGACCTCCCTCCCTGCTTGTTCATTAAGCAGGAATTGGTACCTTGCATAGAGAACAGCTGTCACAGAGTGAGCTGAGGTCACAGAGTGAGCTGAGGTTCTGTGCTCCTGGGCTGCAGGGGGTGCCCGAGGCTAGAACCTGCCATGTCTGTGGTGTACCGGTAAGGGGCTTCTGTCTGTGGACACGAGGTGGCCTTGGAGCTCAGCAGTCCCTTGTCCAGTTCCTTGAAGCACGCTTGGGGAGCCATGGTGCATGGCCCTTCCTCCCTGCTCCTCCTCCTCCTCCTCCTCCTCCTCCTCCTCCTCCTCCTTCCTGCCTAACTTCTTTGGCTCTCTCTGTCTTTCCTTCCCTCTGGTGTCGAACCCCCGTGCTTCTCAGACTGCTCTTTGTGTGCCCTTGGGGTGCTGAATAGGGCCCTGTGAGGGCCAGCCTCCACACAGCTGGCCCTGGGGGAAGGGCAGAGCTGCCCATGCCTCCTTCCTCCCAGCTTGCTGCCAACTGCTTCCTCTCAGCAAAGGGTAGTTGTAACAAGGACCCTCGTGTGCCCCTGCCCTGGGCAGCCAGTGCTGAGCATACAGCCGTGGGACTTGGGGTAATAACAGTGGTGAGGGCCGAGTGTACCTGCCCTGCTCAGTACTGTGGGAAATGAAGTCTGTGCTCAAGTGCCTACCAGAAAAAAGCCTGTCTGGTAGCAAGATGGAGAGCTAGTTCAGAGTTATGGTGTCCCAAGCTGAGGGGATGTCGTGATCATTATCAACTTCGACATTTCTTAGAAATGTTTCCCAGTGGTTAGCAGGACTTGGTGGGGCCCTTGGGTGGGCCTCTGACTTTAGAGGGTGCAACCATTCCAGAGTTAGACACTTTGGTCCAGTTTGTAGGTCAGCTCCTTATGGTAATGGCAGAGGTAAGCCATGCACTTCCGTTGGCTGGATGGCAGCTTGGAAAGGTGGTCTGCCTCTGCTTCAGCCTACTCCTAGGCCCTAGGCTGGGTCTGAGATGGAAATGCTAAACTCTGAGCCTCATCACACTTCTCCAGGGTGTGGCTAGACTGAGTCCTGTTCACCTGCTACATCTGGCCACACCTGGCTTCCCAAGGCACCTTGGTCGGTAGATGTCGTCACCTCTTCTGGGCTATGGACCATGAGCTACACACAGGCCTTGCTGGGCTCCGGAGGGCTGCCTCTGCTCACAGTGGCCCTGAAGCCGTCTTAGGCACATACTGGGTTGGGTGGTAGGCAAGGTGTGTGCTCTGTCTAGGTCCCACTGATAACTGAGGAGGGGTGGGAGAGCCAGGTCCAGGAAGAGGTCGAGTTGGCCGCCATGGAGCACCTTAGACCGGTTCCCCTTGTCTTTATCCTGGCTCCCCTTTACCACATGGGAACCTGACACTGGTCTCCATGTACCCGTAGCCTTTGGGGCCTCTGTTCAGAGCCCCCCTTGTGCTTAAGATGCCTGTGGGTTTGTGGTCATAACACCTACTTCCACCCCTGTGCTAACAGTGCTGATGTCTCCTTATGCCCCCAGCATCCAACAGATGTGGACTACAGGGTCATGGCCACCTTCACCGAGTTCTATACCACTCTCCTGGGCTTTGTCAACTTCCGCCTCTACCAGTCTCTCAACCTCCACTACCCACCCAAGGTAGAGCCCTGGCACCTCCTCTCCTAGTTTGGATCTAGCCTTTCTGTCCTTACTCGGAGGCACGGGGCTGTAGGTGTCCTCTTCCTTCTTCCCAGCTCGAAGGTCAAGCCCAGGCAGAAACAAAGATCAGTGAGGACACATATGCCCTGGACTCTGAGAGCTCTATGGAGGTAAGAGGGGCTTGGGGGGCACTGGCCCTACATCGATCTGTCCCGTGAATAGTTGGTGATTTGGCTAGGGGGTGGTTTATGACTTACCCTTAGAGCCCAGCCCCAGAAGTGGCCTGGAGCTGTTTTTGCTCCCCACCTGCCCCACACCCAGGTGAGGTTCCCCGCCTGCAAGCAGGCCACCTTGCAGCTCTGCTTCCCCTACAGAAACTAGCAGCTCTCAGTGCCAGCCTGGCCCGAGTGATGGTGCCCACTATAGAGGAGGCTGAGGCCGATGAGTTTCCTGCTGATGGGGTGAGTGAGCACTGTGCTGCCTTCCCGGAATGCACGGGCTGGGGCAGGATGCGGGGCGGGACATCGCCTGCAATCTGGGACCTAGAAGGAAGCTGCCAGTCCCTTCCTCTCGGTGGGGCCGGGTGGCCTGGTGGTGTGCAGCTTGGCCCCTTCCCTGCAGGAGGTGTCAGAGCAGGAGGAAGGGCGCAGGAAAGAGCTGGAGGCACAGGAGAGACACAAGCGACTCTTCGAGGGCCTGAAGTTCTTCCTGAACCGAGAGGTGCCCCGTGAAGCACTGTCCTTCATCATCAGGTGGGCAGGCCGTCAGCCAGCCCATGGTTCTGGCTGTGCAGTAGTCCGGTCTCCATCCTGCAGTAGTCCGGTCTCGAGGCCTGATGAGGGTGTCTCCCCTCCTCACAAAGCAGTGTGTGCAGAGCATTCAGGCAGGCGGAGGGAGAGCTGCTGTTCTGCCACTAGCTAAGTCCTTACTGGAGCAGGACTGCAGGTGCTACACCAGACAGGGGGCTCTGGGGTGAGCACTTCCTAGAAGGGTGGGTTTGTGGGTAGTAGGTCCAGAGAAGTTCCCAGGGCAGGCAGCTCATGCCTGAAAGGCTTACGGTCTTCCCTGTACCTGTAGGAGTTTTGGTGGGGATGTATCCTGGGACAAGTCTTTGTGCATTGGAGCCACCTATGACATCACAGACTCGTGCATCACCCACCAGATTGTTGACCGGCCTGGGCAGCAGACCCCCGTCATTGGCAGGTAGACTCTGAAAGCCCTTGAGAGCCCTTTGGGAGGGGGTTCCAGCCCTGGTGGCGCAGTGGTCCCTCTGGCTGTCCTTTGTGACCTGTCTGCTGGCTGCTCTGCACCAGGTACTACATCCAGCCCCAGTGGGTGTTTGACTGTGTGAATGCCCGCCTCCTCCTCCCCGTGGCGGAGTACTTCCCTGGGGTGCAGCTGCCCCCACACCTTTCACCCTTCGTGTCCGAGAAGGAAGGGGATTACATTCCCCCCGAGAAGCTGAAGCTGCTGGCTCTGCAGCGGGGAGAAGACCCGGGTGAGCTGGGCAAGGACGGGAGAGGGTGGGCAGGCTCCAGAGGAGAGGCCAGCGGGAGCAGGAAGCCCCCACTTTCCAGCATTTGCAGTGTTAGTCTGTGCTGACCTTTGGAGTAGCTGAGCAGAATGGCCCGGGGTTGTCAGTGTTCTCATGGGTAGCAAGGGTGTTCGGGAGAGGCCGGAGAGCTGCCTCTGGAATGCTAAGTCACCTGCTCTCTGTAGGAGACCTGAAAGAGGAAGAGGAGGACGAGGAGGAGGAGGAGGAGGACAATGATGACAATGAAGGTGATGGTGATGTTGCGGAGGACAAGGAGGAGGAGGAGGATGTGGAAGCTGATTCAGAGAAGGAGGAGGAGGCGCACCTGTCGGCCTTGGAGCAGCAAAGGCTGGAAGGGAAGGTAGGGAAGCACTGCACAAAGCCCTCCCTGACTGCGAGGCACCCGTTACCCAGAAGGCCAGGCCCACATGCAGCTGCCTTGTTTCCCCAGAAGCCCCAGGTGGTGGCCGGCACTGTGAAACTGGAGGACAAGCAGCGGCTGGCCCAGGAGGAAGAAAGCGAGGCCAAGCGCCTGGCCATCATGATGATGAAAAAGCGAGAGAAGTACCTCTACCAAAAGATCATGTTTGGCAAGCGGCGCAAAATCCGAGAGGTAAGTTCCTGCTCTGATGAGGCCTCCACACATCCGCACGGTTGAGCTCCCCCGGCCCATTTGGCCAAGGCCTGTTTTCTTTGGAGTTTTGTTGGTTTGGGTTGGATTTACACAGCTGGGAATAGAACCAAGGCCTCTCTCATGCTAAGGAGTCCCCCCTCCCCCCATGCCTACCCATAGCTGTCCTGAGCATGGGACTAGCCCAGCGGACTCGGGAAGTCTTTCTGAAGCTCCTGGGTGCTTGTTCCGTGTGTTGACTGGGGGGTTTCACTTGAGCTTGAGCACTTGCTCAGCACTCACAGGTCCCAGGATTTGATCACAGCAGGGGAGGCAGGGGCAGAAAAAACAAAACACAACAAAGCAGTTGTGCACTGAGGCCTCCGGAGTGGCTGGCAGCCTTGCCTTGGGGCATCCCACCAGGTTCCTCTTCAATAACAGCATGGTAGTCTCTCAGGTCTTTCCATGACATTGTACAGTGTGACCTGTTCCCTGCTGAGGGTCATGCTCAGGAAACAGCAGACCCAGCCCAGGAAGGAGTCTCCTCCCTGTGCCCTCTCTGCCAGCTCCCAGTAAAGGTTTGAGTGGTATTGCCTTTTCCTGCTTCCTCAGGGGAGCTGGTGGAAGAGTCGGTCTAGATTCCCCAAGCTGGAGATTTGAGTCCATGAACTGAGTTATCTGGGCAACAGTGGGGTTCTATTCTTGGACCCTGAGGTGTGAGTCGGGGTCTTTGGGTATTTGCTTGTTAGCTTTTCTAGAAGCTCCACTAGTAATGGATAGCCCCAGTAAGGGAAGACATCCCTCCCTGCTCACTCTCCATCCTGTCCTGAGTTTCTCCTTCCTTCTCACAGGCTAACAAGCTGGCAGAGAAAAGGAAAGCCCATGATGACGCTGTGAGGTCTGAGAAAAAGGCCAAGAGGACAAGGCCTGTGTGAGCTCTGACTGGCCCTCACTGGGAGGGACATGGCAGAAGCAAGCCTGTGGAACGCATGCCACACACTCGTGCACCAGCCCGGCACCCTCATGCTTTTGGTGGTGTGTGGCCGGCCCTAGCCTCCTATGAAGTTCATGCCAGTGTCTGGACAGAGGCCTCTACCCAGCGCAGTTCTTACTCCAGGAATCTGACTACGAGCCTCATTTTGCTTGGCTTCCCACAGCCTCCTACACAGCTGTGTCCTTAATTCTCACGATGCTGTCATGGAATAAGGGTGGGGAGCTCTTATTAAATGGCTGGACTTTTGCAGCCAATTGGATTCTGTGTTCAGAAGCCTCCCTGGGGTTGGAAAGGAGTCACCTGGACAGACCCAGATGGGCCCAGGCACACTCAGAAGTCTGAGTCCAGGGATGCTGGGAAGGACACAGGTTCTGGGCTTGGGTTTCACACTCGCCCTGGTCTGGTTCCTGTTTCAGCTCAGGTGCTACTTTGAACCTGCTTCCTCAAGTTAGGGTTTGACATTCTGGAATCTTCCCACAGCAGTGTGCTGAGGGTTCACTTGTCTATTCATGGTCTATAAACATTAACTGGCTTCTTCACTTCCTGCTGGAGCTCATCAGAAGGTGTCTTAGGGTTCTATTGCTATGGTAAGACACTGACCAAAAGCAAGTTGGGGAGAAAAGGGTTTATTTGGCTTACACTTCCACATTGCTATTCATTATCGAAGGAAGTCAGGACAGGAACTCAAACAGGACAGGATCCTGGAGGCAGGAGCTGATGCAGACGCCGTGGAGGGGAGCTGCTTCCTGGCCCGCCACCATGGCTTGCTCAGCCTTCCTTATAGAACTGAGGACCAGCAGCCCAGGGATGGCTCCACTCACAATGGACTGGGCCCCCACTGATGATTAATTGAGAAAATGCCTGACAGCTGGATCTCACGGAGGCGTTTCTCCAACTGAGGCTCCTTCCTCGCTTGTTTCAATTTGACACAAAACCAGCAGTACAACGACCCCCTGTCAACTTGACACAGACATCATTAAGCCACAGCCCTTCCTTTCTTATTCCCCAAGATCTCACATTGAAAACATAAATAACTTTAAAAGTCCCACCGTCTTACAAATTCAAATTTCAGTCCCTTTAAAATAGCCAATCTATTAAAATTCAAAGTCTCTCAACTGAGGGCTCCAGTAAAATACTTTCTTACTTAAAGAGGGGAAAAAAGTCAGCACAATCAAATCAAAGCAAAACCAAATTCCAACCATCCGGTGTCTGGGTTCCACTCCTAATCATCTGGACTTCTCCAGAGGGCTTGGGTGACTTCTCCAGCTCCATCCTCTAAGGCACACACAGCTGTCTTCTAGGCTCTGGATGGCTCCACTCCTCTGCTGCTGCTGTGGGTAGTCATCCCATGGCACTGGCATCTCCAAAATGCTGGAGTCCCTCTGCAGCTGGGCTGTACTTCCACCAATAGCCTACCTATCACAGGCTCTCCTCATGGTGCTAAACTTCAGCTTCTCTGCATGATCCCTTCAGTCCTGGGCCTTCAGTGGCTGCTGAGGCTGCCCCTTCACCAGCGGCCTGTCAGTGCCAAGCCTCAGCTGCCCTCCATGACCCCTTCATGCCTTCCAGTCCAGCTACCAACGTGAGGTACAACCATGGGACACAACTTCCCTGTGCCTTCAGGAAACGCTTCCAGAAGATTTTACCAGTGATGCTAGTCTCTTCATTTGGTTGGTTGGTTGGTTGGTTGGTTGGTTGGTTGGTTGGTTGGTTGGTTGTGTGTGTGTGTCTGTGTTGGTTTTTTTCGAGATGGTTTCTCTATCCCTGGCTGTCACTCTGTAGACCTGAAGCTGCAGGCTGTCCTGGAACTCAGAGATTCACTTGCCTTTGCCTCTGGAGTGCTGGGATTAAAGGTGAGTGCTTAAAATTAAAAGCATGAAAAAGCATAAAAGCATAAAAGCACATGATTAAAAACATGTGCCACAACCACCCGACTCTGGTCTCTTAGTCACTGCTAATTTCTTAGCTCCAGCTAACCAGCATCAATTGTCCCAGTAGTGCACAGGTTTCTCTTCAGTGGTGCTGGTCCCTACTTAGTTATGGCTGACTGCACCTCCAGCTGATCAGAACAACAGAGTCTCAATTCAAAATAGCAAATAGCCTTGATAGTCTGTCTTAGTTGGGGTTTCTGTTGCTGTGAAGAGACCCATGACCATGGCAGCTTTTATAAAGGAAAACATTTAATTGAGGTGGTGGCTTACAGTTCAGAGGTTCAGTCGACTGTCGTCATGGTAGGCAGTTTGGCAGTCTGCTGGTAGATAAATGGTGCAGGAACAGTAGCTGAGAGACCTACATCTTGCAGGCAACAGGAAGTCACTGAACACTGAGCAAGATTCTGAGCATAGGAAACCTCAAATCCCGCCACCCCAGTGACACTGTTCCTCTAATAAGGCCATGCCCACTCCAACAAAGCCACACCTCCTAATAGTGCCACTCCCTGTGAGCTTATAGGGGCCAATTACATTTAAGCTACCATAGGTTTCTGTTGCTGTGAAGAGACACCATGACCACAGCAACTCAAAGGAAAAAAGTTCTGCTACTTGGGGGGGGGGGGGTGTTGGAATATGGCCCCCTCATTCAATTACATCTTCACTAGCTTTCTGTTTTTGATGGTCTCCTTCACTGCCTAAGCTTGGCTGTCCTGAAACGGGATCTGTAAATCAGGCTGGCCTCAAACTCAGAGATCTGCCAGCCTCTGCCTTCTGAGTGCTGGAATTAAAGGTGTGTGCCACCACACTATGCTTTAAGCTCTTCTTTAATTCCTTTTCACAAGTTGGAGACTTGGAAAGTTGGGTGGGATCTTGTCTTGAGGTCACCACTCCCTTTATTTCATTTCTTAATCTGTTTATCTCCTGGAACACAGAATGTAGCTTCATTCCACTTCCTGATGCCCCTTTTCTTCTCAATTTTCCTTGCTCAGCTTGCACCTTTTCATTATAAATCTTTGTAAGTATGAACACTAATAACCACATGAGAGTCTATACTAGGTTGTTTTAAGATTTCCTTTGCCAACGGGATTAATCCAAATCTCTTCACGTTAGCCTCAGGCAGACTCTTCAAACAAGGGCAATTTTTTCACCAAAATATCACAAGACTGGTCACATACTAACATTCTTCTCTGAAACCTCTGGAGCCAGGCACCCACAGTTCAAATCACCCTCAGCACCACTGTCATCCATGCTCCTACTGGGATGGCCCAGTAAGTTCAAGTGTTCAACTGCTTTTCTAAACCACAGTCCCAAGGTCCATATTCCTTCAAACAAAGCCTCAGTAAGGCCTGTCACAGCAATACCCCCGTCCTTAGCACCAGCTTCTGTCTTAGGGTTTCTATTGCTGTGAAGAGACACCATGATTACTGAAACTTCTACAAAGGAAAACATTTAATTGGGTGGCTTACAGTTGCAGAGGTTTAGTCCATTATCATCATGGTGGGACATGGTAGCATGAAGGCAGACATGGTGCTGGAGGAGGAACTGAGAATGGAGAATCCTACAGGTGACAGGAAATGCTCTGTCTCACTGGGCATGGCTTGAGCATATATGAGACCTCAAAGCCCACCTCCACAGTGACACACTTCCTCCAACAAGGCCACACCCCTAATAATGCCACTCCCTTTGGGGTCCATTTTCTTTCAAAACACCAAAGAACCTTTAAGTTTCTCTCTAAAACTTCATAAGGCAGGCCCTCCATCTGCATTGCTCTCCACATTTTTATCTTTGAAGCTCCTCAAGAACTCCCCACGGAGCTCTCACCACACGATGACTTTTCTAGCCTAAACTTCCAAAGTCCTTCCATAGTCCTCCCCAAAACATGGTCAGGTCTGTCACAGCAATACCCCACTCCTGGTACCAACTTGTTGTAGGATTTCTATGCTTCCATGAAACACCAGAACCAAAAAGCAAGAAAAGGGTTTGTCTTACACTTCCATATCGCTGTTCATCACTGAAGGAAGTCAGGATGGGAACTCAAGCAGGGCAGGATCCTGGAGGCAGGAGCTGATGCAGAACCCCCCCCCCCACTCCAACTCCCTCTGCTGATAGCCCTTACCTGGAACTGTCCATGCATCATAACTGGGTTCTAGTCACTGAGTCTTTCCTAGGACACCCTGGCTAAAGCCACTCCCCAGAGGCTGTGATGTCCTAAACGGGGTAGACTGGGCTCTGCTGTCTGTGAATCTAAGGACCTGGTGGTCTGGCCTGCCTGTTTTGTGCTGGCTCTGTATGTGGAGAATAAATCTGCCGCAGTGGCTGCACCTTCCCCAAAGAGGAGGGCAAGAGTTTTGGCAGGCTGTGGCTTGTGGACCCAAGAACACAGTGTCCCCCAAACTGATGGTCTCACTATATATGTGGATGAGAGGGCTCTGTCTGACGCCAGCTCTGGCATGGCAGCTGGGGGAGGCAGGAACCAAAGGAGTCGCACACAGCTATGTAGCGCAGATGACTCAGGCCTGCATGGGTATATGTGTATCTAGGGCCCACATGGACAAAGGCAAGCCCATCAGATATGGAAGAATGCCTGGCAGCCAGGCTGATGTGGAATTTTCCCCATTCCAGAGTTGCCTAGAAATGTCGGGGGCAGTGGGGCTCTGACGTGGCCCATGTTTCACTGGATGGCCAGCTGGTTTTGTACTGCCCACAACTGGGGCTAATTCCAGACGAGTTCCCATCCTTGGTTCTGCTTTGGGATGAAGGACAGCCTGAACCTAGACAGGCGCACCCACTTCCTACTTGCCCAGTCCTCTTGAGGATGGGCATCTACAAAAGGGAAGTTAGCTGAACCGTTTAAGTAACAGGACCCTTCGGAGCCAAGCCCCTTTCCTGGGTCGGCCCAGGGATCCTGGCTCATCTTCACCTGTTTTCCTTGGGTACCAAAAATGTGTCCCTGGCCTCCACAGAGGGAGCTGGGAAGACCTATGTTTCGCTGGATCCCCAGGAGCTCCAGTGCTGTCAATAAAAGGCTGGCAATTAGTACTGCCGCATTTTCCCCGGGCTCGGTTTTCCCTCCCCAACACTACCACCAAGCCCCAGGCACCCTCTATTCCCTTCTGGGGCTGGCAGAACAATGGTCCCCTTGGCCCATCGAAGACAAATGGGCCTTGTTGGGCCGGCGGCGGGGGCGCGATATTGCGCCCCAGAGAGTTGAATACGGCTTCTGTGCCTCTCCGGCTGGCGCGCAGGGGACAGGAGGGGGGGAGGGGGCCGTGGCGCCCATTGGCCGTGGCGCCAGGGGCCGGGCCAGGCTGCTAGCCTCACCTGGCCGAGAGTGGCGAGAGCGGGTGCAGCAGCCGCTGCGGCGGCGGGGC